TAATTTATCTAATTCCCTATTAATTGCATTTCCACCATTTGAAAATGCTCCATTTTACAATATTTGATTAGGTACTTTCTTTGCTTAGGATATATATTAATAACAGATACTAGCATATGTCTATATAATTTTAGACTCCCTGTAATAGATGCTTTAACATAATGTAGAAGCACAGAAAAGAAGGCATGTAGCAACTTTCTGTTAAGACCAGAATTGCTTAGAGAGGCCAGTATTCTATTGCTCGACTCGATTAGAAAACTAACACATTGAATTAATCACTAGACTGTAAGTCAATATTTCTGTACATCCCATTGAGTCAGTAGGACTACTCTATTTGAGACTAGCTATAGGAGAATTTAAAGAGGTGTTCAGTGAAATCTTACGCATCCTTATTCTGAGGTGAGTTCCAGTGTATTAAATGAGGTTTCGCCCGTAATAAACACACTTAGAATTGCAGCCTAATGGAAGAAAACAAAGTCCATATCTTTTTATATAACGCTCAAATACTGGCCATGATTTGATGGTGCATTACCACCAATGCCTGCTACTTCTGCCAAAATTAGCTATCCACCCTCTTCCTTGTGGCCTTACACAAAATATCTTAAAGATATGTTCCAGAGAGGTGGGAAACATTCTGAAGTAGGTACTTTGATATCCCAGAGCAGCAGTAGGAGGGAAAGAAAAGAGAAGTACAGATATTACTAAATTTGGAAGCAAAGGCATCACTGGATCTTCACCTTTACTGTTGTTGTTGTTGTTTAGTCGTGTAGTCGTGTCCGACTCTTCATGACCCCATGGACCAGAGCACGCAAGGCCCTCCTGTCTTTCACCTTTACTGTGGCAACCTCAAATTCAATCCAAATGTAAAGAAGATGTAAGAAAGACATTTTGTTCTTCCATTGCGTATAAGGATGAAGTACTTCACTTAAGAACAACTTTCAAGTTTCAACACCAAAATGCGTAAACTAGCAAAAAAAGATAAATGCCAACACAGCTTGTGATATATATGAGAATGAAAGCAGGAAGTTAAAGCACATCACTTTGCCCAGCTCACATTTCATAAGCTTCAGCGTGCCAATTGGATACATCTATGTAATGCTACTGCAGTACCAGGTGCATGGAGAGGTGATCTAGGTCAAAGATTTACAGAGTGTGAAGTCAAAAACAGACATTAGAGGAAGCCTGTGGCAAGAAAAGGAACATTTGTAATGAATGTGACAATTGTCAGTATCACAATGCAAGATCCTCAGCTTTGTTAGGTAACTGGTCTTCAGGACATTTGCACAGGGTGCTTTTGAAGCCTGATTCCACAAAGAAAGTAAGTCTGTTTCTCTCACCTCCCTGCAACATTACACATTTTCAGCTCCAATTACAAGCTATTTCTAATGTCTGCTTCTGGCCTGAGTTGTAGCACAACACTTTACACGAGGTGATAGAGGCCAGAAAACTCATTTTCAAGACTAGATTGTGACACAAGCCAAACCATTATTCATAAATTGACTTTTTGCATGTGATCACTAGATAAAGCAAGTCAACATGGTGTTCCTTTCCCCAAGTGTCCCATATCCCAGGGACGTGCAAATATGATTTCTGATTTTTGGACTGATGAAAAAAAAACACACATTCAGACTCAAACTTCATTCTAAACAGACTGGAGGTTAGAGGACACATTGTGTTTAGCAGTGCAGTGCTGCTAAAACAGCTTCCTTCTGATGAGTGAATCCTAACTAGCCATAAGTGTGCAATTGCTTTAACATTCACAGCTCTGCTGTGAGTCTTCATACCAAGTGATTTGCACCTGAAGCAGCTACTGGAGCTAGAATAGCCAGTCATTGTGAAGATCTATGGCAATTAGGTATACAAATTATTGTCATGCAGTGGTATCATGGTAGATTTTGAAGTACAGTTGTTCACCAAAACAGTTCTCAGGAGAACCCAAAATTCCGGGGCAGCAAGATTGGTCCACACTAGCAATTGAAAGTCTACTCTTTGGTAAAGTTAATGGCTCTTAAGTGCTCATTCAAGAGTAAACAGCTCTCAAAAATAGAGATAGCTTTTTCACTGGTATCCCCAAGATGAATGGACTTTGTATGGGACTCTGACAAATAGTCCTATAGGTATACACAGTATTTGAACACACAAGTATGCAAGCAGTAATATGAAGGAATAGGAGAAAGTTGACCTGGCGACAAACACCTGAACTTTATGACCAACATGACTTAAGAAAAGCCTATCAAATGGGGGTGTATTTCATGGGAAAGCTGACTAGGGAACTGCTCTCTCTTATTCCAGCAGCGGCGGTTAAACACTACAAAAATTCAGCCTGTTTTTGGTCTTTTGTGTCATCAGACCTAAGGCACCAAAGTTGCTGCTTTGGTTTGCTTCTCTCCCAACAAACCACAGATGATATATACAATTTGTTTTAAATTTGTTTGTGGATTTCATCTGTAGTTTGTTGGGAGAGAAAGAAACCACTGTGGCATCTAAATAATAAAACAAAGCAGAAATAAAAGGTTTGTAGTTTGTCACCATGGCAAGAGGGGACAACTGGGAAGCATAATTTTAGACAACAAGCCAGGATCCCCTTGCCTTGTCAACAAGATTTCAACCATTGTCTCTATGCAATAACAAGCCAGGATCCCCATAGATCCCTTGCCTTGTAAACAAGATTTCAACCATTGTCTCTATGCAACAACCATATAATGTTAACACTACATTATTATGATCACAGGGCTGATGGTGGAGCAGGTGATACAATTGTGAGTTACCAAAGGCCATTTTCTACATACATACTTGCATCAGGCACTTATCAGTTCACACAGGTTATACTGTACTATACCAGTTCTCTACGTACTAAATACAAACCTAACATGTTGCTGAGGACTGGGCTGCTGTCAGTAACAAAACGGAAAGACAAATACATGTTTGACAGCTGGACTTCAAGTGAATAACCTCTTTCAGAGGGCTAGAGAGGAACCGTATGCCATGGGACTAGTGAGAAGTAAACAAGAAACTGATATGTTCTGGGTAAAATTAACATCTGCCTCCTAATCTGACTCCTTAGACTTTCTTATTCTTGATTTCATGTCAGTTTTGTAGCTGATTTTACTGGAGTGCCCTCCTCCAAATATCTCTTTTATTTTCACACAGCCCAGTTTAGAGAAGAGGTGTCTATTCAATCATCATAAACTGTGACTCGGATCTATTTCCAAACAGAAGGGTCCTTTATTTATACTGCATTACTTTCTGAGGGACACATATTCAGGTAAGCATGGGAATGGATGAACTATCCATATACACATGCTGCTCTGAAAGTAATTAAGTGTGGTTAAACATTTTCCCTATTCAGGAACACCTGGAGTATATAGTGTAAGTACTCAGTTCCCACTATACTCAGATCTCCATCTCTTGATTTGATATATTATAGATATATTATATATTAGATACAGTATCCTGTAATCAACATTCAGTAGAATTTAATATATAATTACATTCACTTATTGTATCTTGTCTTCTTTGACCAAAAAAGAGGTTATTTATGAAAAAAACTAACAAAGGACACAACCTATTATAAATAAAAATTGACCTCTTACGGAAATAGATCAAATCTTGAATTTAAATAATTAAGATTGAAAAGAGATTCCAGATATATTGCATCAATATGCCTTTCTGATTAGTTCTGCATTTACAATGGAAGAAACAACTCTACTTCAGCCAGCTTTCAGGCATTCCAACTGATCATAAACATTTTTTATAATAATACAAGAAAAGAGCTTAATTGCAATGCAATACAATTTAGACTTGCTCATATTATTCACCAGGTTGCTAAAAAATACCATAGCCAGCATATAATGCCTACTGATATAAACTATAGACTCCCTATAAATACCTAAAGATCAGTTTCTTGAGCTGGTGAAATAAAAGATGACAAAAGTAAGTCAGTTTGATTCCCATGCTAGTCAGGCATTAAGAACCTATTTCAATCAGGACAAGAAAGACTGGAGGCCTTCATTTGACAGTCATTTTCACAGATGTAAAGAAATGATAGTGATCAGAAGGTCACTTCTGACTTCCTTCTTTCAAAAATGGCTGGACTTTTGATTGAAAGAAGATATGGTCTAGTGTTAGAAACAACAAGAAAATGGAGAATCTTGAGCCAATATCTCTCTGTGGCCAAACTTTTCTGGGATCTCTGGGAGGATGGAGCCTGCACTAAGGTCCCTTGCCAAGGCTAAGTGCAGCCTATGAAATTCACACCTCTAATTTTAAACCATAAAAGAATGTATTTGCACTGTGTGCATTGTCTATGTGTTTCTCATTATGCACAGCTAATTGTTTGAAAGCAGTGAACATGCTTCTACATAAGTATGCATCAAAAATGTTACACACTCTACACAGAAGAGAGCCACAGAAAATAATTACTTCTTCAAATCTTGATTCTACATAAACTGTAGACTCTACTTGGTACAACATAGAAGTCAAAACTGGAAATGTGGGCAATGTTGTTGTTTTTTATTTTGAGTGTGTATGAGGCCCCAGAAAAAGTAGATTCTGCTGGTAAATTTGATCAAAATGAGTTTTTCTGTGTATGTGTGATGGAAATTATTTTGTTTGTGCTGATGGGAGAGGAGGGAAGTACTGATGTGACAGTGAAATCCTGGGCAATTTCACTGGCAGAAATGTTTGCAAATTCGAAGTGCCAGGCAGGTGTGGAAATAGCAAGCATCAAACATTTAATGGTGATTTTCTGACAGGAATACAAGAAGCTGAGAAATATTCCGACTTTTCTAAAAATCACCAAGCTTTCTTCCTGCTGCAGATGACTAATAACTGCTGCAGTTATAAACAAGCATACAAAGAATGGCCAGAATGAACATCAATCTATTGTTAGTGTCCTATAGATTGATTTCCATGCAACCTTGATCAGATGCTATGAAGTATCCATAGCATGTATCATTTTTATAAAACAAGCAGCAGGAGGATGGAGACAAATATATTACCTGGCTGATGTGTAACTGGTCTTCCAATTGGTGCTGCTAATATAACAGGTCCAGAAGAGGAGGCTTCCATTTTTATTGACTTTCTGACTTGTGGAAAAGAAGAATACCTAACCACAGATGGATGCTGTGGCAAAAGATGGCTTGGTGTACTTCTCCCTTGGTAGATCTGCACACGCTTTTTAGCCCCATGAATAGATAAGCTCCTACCTAAAAGGAAGAAAACAGTAACACTTTAACTGAGGTACATTTTGAGTGTCTTATAAAAATGTGTATAGCTTCAAAAATAACTGAAATAAATTATTTGAAAGAAGCCAACACATCTATGAATTTTATACTGATAGTAATTGCAAATTTCTTAAAATTCACAAAAGCCACAGAATAGTAAATAGTGACAGCTGAAATTAAAGTCATTACTGATGACTCCTAGTTAATAAGAATGTAGGAGGAGAGACAACAGATTGTGTTGACAGAGTGTTGGATATGAACGATACCAATCCAAGCTGAAGTCATCATTCAGCTCAGTTAAACTCTGGCATCCCAGCCTCATAGTTTAATTTTAGCTTACAAAGTTGTTATAAAGACAAAATAGCATACTACCCAATTTGAGAAACTATGAGATACAAATACAACAAACAAACAAATAAATATAAACCCGGGAGTATACTGGGTTTGTACTAGATTATAGTATAGGTTATATTCAGCAATGTTCAATTATGAACATATAAAAATAGTTCACACTCTCTAATGTGCATTCTTCACACTCAGTGGGAAACATTCACGTGACAGGACCTGACTGAACTACAGCTGAAACAAATTTCAAACAAACAAAACAAAACAATGTATTCTCGAAGGCTTTCACGGCCGGGATCTGATGGCTGTTGTGGGTTTTTTTGGTTCTTTGGCCACTGAAAAACCCACAACAAAACAAAACAAGTTTTGTCACAATTACCCCATTGTATAAAAATGGTGAAGATTTGTTTCTACCCACCTAATTGCATCTTCCAGTATTCCTAATTTTTGAATGTGAAACTTCTATAAGTCAGGAGGAAGACCTGAAGAGGATGCACCATCAGATGAGGACAAAGATCTCCCACTGAAACATCCAAACCTGCCATTCTGTGAATTGTTCTTGCTGCTTGCAGCTATGTATGCATAATGAGAAGAGGCAGGGAGGCTCTAAGTGGGATCTGTCCAAGCACAGACACACTGCCTCTGTTAATATTAAAAATGCCAGGTTTTAAATCTCTTTTTGTTTGTCACCTATCAAGGAAACTGTGCTCTTTACCCATAAATATGGATTATTCTGAGTAACACCTAGATTTTGTATTTCCAAAAATTTGAGAAGGGTATAATCATTTCTTTATTTCTTTTTGTCTTGTTTTGTTTCACTCCCAAGCTATATTGAGGGCTAATTCCACATGCAACCCAAACCTATTACAACATCAGATATTGCCTAATATGAGGACAGGATTAAAATTCAAAATGACCTTGACAGATTAGTCCTGGGCCAAAACTAACAAAATGAATTTCAACCGGGAAAAATGTGAAGTCCTGCAGCTAGGCAGAAAAAAATGAACTAGCTAGACAACAGTACCTGTGAAAGGGATCTAGGAGTCTTGGTAGACCACAAACCGAACATGAGTCAGCAGTGTGATGTGGCTGCCAAGAAAGCCAATGCAATTCTTGGTTGCTTCAATAGGAGTATAGTGTCTAGATCAAGGGAAGTGATAGTACCACTCTATTCTGCTTTGGTCAGACCTCACCAGACACCTCTTGTGTCCAGTTCTGGGTACCTCAATTCAAGAAGGATGCTGACAACCTGGAACATGCCCAGAGGAGGGTGACCAAAATGGTCAAAGGTCTGGAAGCCATGTCCTATAAGGAGTAGCTTAGGTAGCTGGAAATGTTTAGCCTTACAAAAAGAAGGTTAAGAGGGGACATGATATACATGTTTAAATATTTGAAGGAATGTCAATAAATAAATAAATAAATAAATAATGTCGAGGAAGGGACATGTTTGTTTTCCATGGCTCTAGACACTAGAACAAGGAGCAATGATTTCAAACTACAGGAAAAGAGATTCCACCTGAACATTAGAAAGACCTTCCTGACAGTCAGAGATGGTCGGCAGTGGAATAGGCTGCCTCGGAGTGTGGTGGAGTCTCCTTCTTTGGAGGTTTTAAGCAGAGGCTGGATGGCCCTCTGTCAGGAGTGCTTTGATGGAGTTCCTGCATGGCAGGGGGTTGGACTGGATGGTCTCTTCCAACTCTGTGATTCTATGATAGTCTGAAAATCTCTCACCCTTCATTTTATCTAAAAACTCTCTTAGAACTCATGCAATACAGACTTCATGACTTCAGTATCAAGCCAACCCCATTTCTATTTTTTTTAAAATCCCACCGAATTTTGACAGCTTGCCCCAGCAAGGACTTCCTCTGGGCACATCATGGCGATTCCTGTGATTTCTCAAAGCAGTAGTGCAGTTTTTTGTTTTGCTTTTTTGTTTTGCTCTTCTTATCAGTTTCCTGCAGATTACAGTAAGCTTGATAGTCCTGCCTATTTCTGTTTCTGTCTTTGTTGCTTTTATTAGTTTCTTCTGCTGGTCAGTTTCAAATCGTTCTGTTAGTCAATGTCTGAACTGTATACACTCATTTGAAACTGACCAGGATAAGGGCCTATTGACAAGTGCAACAGACCTTATAGAAGACCTGTGGAGAATAATACTTCAGGCACAAGCTGCACAGGACTATCAAATGTAATATTGTACAGGGAGCAGTAGGTAAAATTTAAGGAGTACAAGAAAAACATCAACGAACTGGACCAGTCCATACAGCTCTGGTATAAATTTCCTTATTAGATTTCTATTTTTTCTCTCCTCTTATTAAAATAATCATCTTTACAATGTTCCATTAATTCTCCGGGAGAAATATAGAAACACCGATCTGTGTCAAGTTGCTTCCTAATCATTAGAGACTTGAAATCTACAAGCACCTTGTGCAATTAATGTGCTCTATTTTCAAAGCATAGTCTTCTTTCTAAACAGCTCTCAAAGGATAGTCTTCTATATGAAGACATCCTCTATTTAAAGGACTGTCCATAAACTTAAGAAGAGAGAGCAGGGAAGTTTTTTAAAGTATTTTCATTAAAATTGGGAAGTGAGCTTACACTCAATTTGAGCTTAGGAAAAAATGGGAAAAGCAGAATTTGAGTGTAACAGGGCCAAAAATATATCCAGTGTCCTGTGAAGTTGATCCCCCCTGATTTAGGGCATGATCATATGACAGAATTATTCCCTACTTATGCCAAAGTTAGATCATAGCATAAATTTGTGGTCACACGACTCACAGCCACTACCAATTCATTTTACTGCCAGTGGTGTAACTGCGGATCAACACCCACAGATTTTTTGTTCCGGTGGTGTTTCAATATAGTCCTTAACAGTGTAGCACATGTGTATGATCCTGTCAATATTTTTTTGAAGCAAATTCCCCGGGGAAGGTGGCCACCATTAGTGCCATATGGTTGCCCTTCTATAATTTTCTTTAACTTTTCCACAGCTGGAGTGTAGATAAGTTGGTAAAATTATGTCAACAGCTTTAAAGGCATTGGTAGGTGTTGCATCACTCCACCTACTGTCTGGCAAATAACACAGCCCTGCGTGGGGGTGCCAGGTCCATGGACTGCAGTGCCTGGCTTCCAGAGATGCCAGCACAACAGGGGAAACTCTACTCATCAAGAAACACTACCTGGCACATGGATGTATTGTGGGGTTTTTTTATTAAAAAAAATAAAAGTTAAGGTGCTGCAGTAAATCAAGAGAGAAAATAAATAGGTAACGTGGTGTGGATGGCCATAATGATTCAAATACAAGAACATGAAGTGGTAATGTTAAAGCATGTTGGGGCATTCATCCATGTACGCATTACAACAAAAGTATGGAAAGTATAATTAAAAGTGGGTAGCATTTCCCTGATGTGATCATGGCCTTAGATCCTATTTCCTCGGGAAATGACTCTTTACAGTACTTTCTAACTGTACTGCATAATGTGATGCACTTGTACCCATAGCACTCAAGAACAATAATAAAACATCTAATTGATGACACATTAAAAGTGGGTAGCATTTCCTTGATGTGATCATGGCCTTAGATCCTATCTCCTCGGGAAATGACTCTTTACTTTCTAACTGTACTGCATAATGTGATGCATTTGTACCCATAGCACTCAAGAACAAGAATAAAACATATAATTGATGACAAGTTGACAGGATACATGGACTCTGAGGTCTGCAGAGATGATAAGTTAAGGAGTAGCTGGCAACCCTTGTAAAATATCAACCAGTGCTTTGTGTAGAGGTGCCTGAGGGCAGGGAAAGCACTACCTGCCAGAATTCTTAACAAACTCATTTTTCTAGCATGCTGTAGTAGCACAAAGGAAAATAATATTTGTTCAGACATGTCATAACTCAGAAGAAATTCCGTAGAAAGCAAGTGTTTCTATGATGGTTGTGTTGCTCATTAGTAATGGTAAACCACTCCTTAAACATATCACATACAGTACTTTGAAAATGCTACCACAGTCAGCAAGTAAACAATGACTAGACAGCACATAGCAAACATCTTTCTTCATGTTTTTTTAAGTATCCAAGTCTACTTTTACCTTCTGTATTTTCAATAAAACAGCTGTATTAGCCTGTAAGTTAAGTGAAGCTGTTTTATAATACAGTACTCATAAGAATGCTAATTAGGAAATTCCTATTCCACACTAATCTTTGGCAGGGGATCTGATATACAAAAAATAAATGCAGTTCTCCAAATTCCAGTCTGAGGATTGTAAAAATGGAAGTATTTCTGCATAAGAGAGAGATACTAAAACATTGGGAGCATTCCAAGATTTGCAGAGATGTTTTAAAAAACTGGGGAGGAGGGAAGTAAAGGAAGCAAAAACAATTCAATGAAAGTGAGCATCTTGAGTAACCATACAGTAGTAGTTGGCTGTTGGGAGTGTGGTGGGTCTGAGAAAAAGCAGGAAGGGAGATACTGTATTTTTTGCACCATAAGACTCACTTTTTTCCCACAAAACAGGGGGGTGGAAAGTCTGTGCATCTTATGGAGCGAAGAAAACAGATTATATTTTCCTGTTTTCTTCTCCTAAAAAATCGGTGCGTCTTATGGAAAGGTGCGTCTTATGGAGCAAAAAATACGGTAA